CCCAGGAGGCGGAGGTTGCGGTGAGCCGAGATCACGCCATTGCACTCCAGCCTGGGTAACATGAGTGAAACTCCGTCTCAAAAAAAAAAAAAAAGTTTTTATAATACCTTTGTTACTCTTCAACAATGCTCATGAAAATCTGATGAAGCTTGACCTAAAACTACCTTTTTAAGCTAACAAGCTTACATATATAGAACTTGCAGAACTAAAAACAAGAAGGTAAACACATATTTTACAAAGAAATATAGACCAGAGTAAAAGTCAACAAACCAAGAAAATTATTTCTTAAATGAAGAAAAGGCAGACAAGGACTGGCACCCATTTTCTTAAAGCAAATATACTCTTCTAAATTTTGCCAATTAAAGCTCATCCCGTTTTGCTGATTAAAGCTTATAATCCAATCTGATTTCTTTTCAACCAACAGCTAAAAAAGCATAAATACAGACACTTTCATTTTATATTCAAAAACTTATCTTCCTAATTTAACCTTATAAATGGCAAAGAATCTATTCTCTGATTTAACAAGTTAAAATGAAAAATTACTAGTTTACTGAAAGAATGAAACTTAAATGCCCCCTTTTTAAAAAATCAGTTCATAGCTGCATGTTTGAGAATAAGGAACTCACATAGAAAATGAGACCAAGTATCAGCATATTTTAAATATCAAAAAATATTAACATCCCCAAATTAGTAGATGTTTAAGACAAACTAAAGAAAGACTTGGCCAGCTGAGGTGGCTCATGCCTGTAATCCCAGCACTTTGGGAGGCCGAGCAAGTGGATCATGAGGTCAGGAGTTCAAGACCAGACTGGCCAACATGGCAAAACTCTGTTCTACTGAAAAAATACAAAAATTAGCTGGGCATGGTGGCTCGCGCCTGTAATCCCAGATACTTGGGAGGCTGAGGTAGGAGAACTGCTTGAACTGGGCCCCGGAAGGCAGAGGTTGCCGTGCGAGATGACAGCATTGCACTCCAGCCTGGGTTATAGAGCAAGACTCCATCTCAAAAAATAAAAAATAAAAAAGACTAAGGCAATAACCATGAGTAGAATGTATGAGATGTGGTAATTGTTTCATAAACTTCAGCCATAAAACAAACAGTCCATCTAATACCAAAAGCTCCGGAAAGTCAATGTGATATCAATCTGCCCACCTCAAACACAGTTTAGTTACATACAAGACCATGTGAAGCTAGGACTATCATATTCACACAGTTTTAGTTGTTTCTTGCTGGTGTTTTGATTTCCACATTACAGAGAAAACGCACAAATATACAAAATGGAAATAAATCAAAAAATAGTAGATGATGTTATGTATACACTTCCAAATTTTTTTCAGTATTAAATAGGAAAACTAGCTGGATGCAGTGGTTCATGCCTGTAAATCCCAGCACATTGGGAGGCTTGGTGGGCAAATCACTTGAGGTAAGGTTCGACATCAGCCTGGCCAACATGGCAAAACCCCTCTCTACTAAAAATACAAAAATTAGCTAGACATGATGGTGCATGCCTATAATGCCAGCTACTCGAGAGGCTGAGGTGGGAGAATCACTTGAACCCAGGAGGCAGAGGTTGCAGTGAGCTGAGATTGTGCCACTGTACTCCAGCCTAGGCAACACAGTAAGACTCTGTCTCCAAAAAAAAAAAAAAAAAACAATTAGGAAAACTATTTTCTCCCAAGTGAACTATGAACATAGGAAAACCAATTGTTAAAGATTCTAAGTTATGAAATCAAAGTTATCAGTAATACTCACAGGTGGTTCCACATACAGATTTTTCCTTCCCTTCCAGCAGGTCCCACAGGTGAATGGAGGCATGTTCATACTGTTCATTCAACCTTTTAATAGTAAAAAGCTAATTAATAACCTTTCAGTTGTCAACTTAAAGCAATATTCAGAAGTTTCTATTATCAAATACCACTATACCTCAGGCTCATGTCCCGTTCAGGGTCTACTAACTTATAGAATTCATCCAACAATGACAATTCCTCTTCGGACAATATTGGCACTCCATTCAAACCTTGTTTCAGGTCAGTTCGCACTTCATCATCTCCCAGTTTGTCCAAAACATACTGTAGCTCAAGTACAGTTTTTAAACGTTTCTGTTCAGCTTCTTCTCTCATCAGCTGCTCCCGACGTGCTGTCTTCTTTATTGTTTTCTGAATCTGCAAAACAATATAAACATATGACACCAAAACTTAGTTCAATCCATTTCAGGTCCAGCTTAAATAAGACATGTTTTACTCAATGAGTGAGATATGACCCCAATACAAAGAAGGATGATTCCTGACTCACAAATATAGTTTTAAACATAATCTATTTTAAGCAATTATTAAAAATTCGTAACAGCTCTTGCCCTAGAAGGTATTTTAACTACTAAAAGATTACTCATGAAACAACGTGTTTGGGGCCTGTTTCAAAATAATCTAGAGGGCAAAGGGAGACAGGAAATAAATGTAGATTTATGTGAAATACGACTGACCATGAGATGATAAATACAGAAGCTGGGTACAGGTAAAACAGTTTCACTGTATTGTTTTCTTTAGTTAGATATATATGTCTGAAGTTTTTCATCATTAGTATAAAAAGTAAAAATTTTATGAATTTGGAAATTATAGAGAAATTTAAAGGCTTGGGCCAATTAAAAAAGAAACACAACCACAGCAACAATAAAAATCTCACCCCAATCTAGCTCCTCTATGGACAAATGACCCAAAGTTCTAACTTTAGGTATCTATCTACTCATGACTCACAAGGAAATGCCAAAACACCACAAGTGCCCCTTTGCCCCACATAATCCACTGCCAGTCTCAGACATCCGTCTTACTTAAAAGAGTACCTAGTTTGTTTTTATGAATAAGATGATGCTGATGGAGAAAAACAGATAGCAAAGCTAAGTATGAACGTATTTTTTCCACATTCTTCTTTTCTTCCCTGGAAAGGCTGAAAGGAAGGCATCAGTCAAACTCTATTATTTCTCTCCCTCTCTCTCATATCTAATATCTAGTTGAGGACAGAGAAGGCTTGTCTTTCAAGAGCCATGGCAGTGTTTTACTTTCCACTTGTTCCCTCTTTCTCAAGTCTCACTCAGATGAACCAAGACACAGAAAACCAAAAATGGGGAAGCAGACGTGGGAGAAATGATGAAGGCCACAATAACAAGACAAATCTGTAATGGTAATACAGTGTGCAGAATAAATAATATCTTAGCATTAAATGGCAAGTGATAGCTGCAGTAAGCTGAAATGAGGCTACTGCATTCCAGCCTGGGCCAAAGAGTGAGACAGAGTTTCCCTCTTGTTGCCCAGGCTGGAGTCCAATGGTGCGATCTCGGCTCACTGCAACCTCCGCCTCCCAGGTTCAAGTGATTCTCGTGCCTCAGCCTTCTGAGTAGCTGGGATTACAAGCATGTGCCACCATGCCCGGCATTTTTGTATTATTAGCAGAGACATTTAGTAGATACATTTTTGTATTATTATTAGTTCTCTGTGTTGGTCAGGCTGGTCTTGAACTCCTGACCTCAAGTGATCTACCCGCCTCAGCCTCCCAAAGTGCTGGGATTACAGGCATGAGGCACAGCACCCAGCCGCCAAGTGTTCTTTTTTTAAAAATACTTTTAAAAAATTTGAGGCAAGGTCTATGTTTCCAAGGCTGATCTTGAACTCCCGGCTTCAAACAATCCTCCCACCTTAGCCTCCCAAAATAATAGGATTACAGGTATGAGCCACCATGCCCAACCAGGAAGGTCTTTCCTTTTTTTTTTTTTTTTTCCTGTCTCACTCTGCTGCTGAGGAGTGCAGTGTGGCAAGGAGATCTTGGCTCAATGACACCTCCACCTCCCAAGTTCAAGCAGTTCTCCTGCCTCAGCCTCCTGGGATTACAGGTGCATGCCATCATGCCCAATTTTTGTATTTTTAGTAGAGATGGGGTTTCACTATGTTGGCCAGACTGGTCTCAAACTCCTGGCCTCAGGCGATCTACCTGCCTTGGCCTCCCAAAGTGCTGGGATTACAGGCGTTGGCCACCACATGCTGCCCAGGAAGGTCTTTATAGGTAACTGGAGGCGGGAAACATAGAAAAGGGGCAGGAATGTAAAAGGAAGTTAAGTAAAATAAAGTAAGAAAGAAAGCTATTCTGGATGAAATGAAGAGCTCAAGAAGGAAGAAGGTGAAAAGGTAGGCCTGAGCCAGACTAAAGAAGTTCTTGAATGCAAACAAAGTTCGTTTAATAATTGTGGAAAGTATACCGAAGGATCAAAGATAAATAAAAGCTCTACTAATGAAGTCAAAGCTCAGAGAAAAGTCCTGAAAATACCAAAGTGTTACAAGAGAAGCAAAAAAGGATACAGGTATTTTCATTACACAGTGATAGTAACTTCCAAAATAGATGTTACATTAAACTGTATAGCAATCCTGCTTCTATTTCAAAAAAGCAAGAAAAAGAAATTGGGCAGGGTTCATCAAACTAAGTGGAATAAATCCCTACTTTGGTGCTACGGTCTGAATGCATCCCCTAAAATTCAAGTGTTGGAAACTTAATCTTCCCAATGCAATAGTGTTGGGAGCCTGGGCCTTATGGAAGCTATCTAGAATGAATTAATACTACCATAAAAAGAGCTTGCAGGAGTGTGATCACTCTCTCTTGCCCTTAAGCCTTCTACCACCAGGTGAGGACATAGTAATGCATCAAGAAGCTAGTATCCTGATCTCGGACTTTCCAGCATCCAGAAGTGTGAGAAACAAATTTCTGTTCTTTACATACATATCCAGTCTCAGGCATTCCATTAGAGTAACACAAAGTTGACTAAGACACTAGGTACAAAATTAAATTAGTTTTTCTGTCAGGCAAAGATTTTCCTTCCCTAATCAACTGTAATAAGTAATTCTAAGATAAAGTACTTGAAGCCAGGCACGTTGCCTCATGCCTGTAATCCCAACACTTTGGGAGGCTGAGGCAGACGGATCACCTGAGGTCAGGAGTTTGAGACCAGCCTGGCCAACATGGTGAAACCCTGTCCCTACTAAAAATACACAAATTAGGCAGGCATGGTGACTGAGGTCTATAGTCCCAGTTACTCAGGAGGCTGAGGCAGGATAATCAGTTGAAGCTGGGAGGTGAAGGCTGCAGTGAACTGAGATCACGCCACTGCACTCCAGCCTGTGCAACAGAGCAAGACTCTGTCTCTAAAAAAAGAAAAAAAAAAAAGAACAAGTGCTTGAAATATATTAGTTATGCATCAAATACTGTTCTAAGCACAACCCTATGAGGTAGATAAAATTATTATCACCATATTACAGATTAGAAAACAGAGGCATTGTAATGGCCTCTGCCCATCAGCCTCATTTTTCTAACCTATTGGTTCTGTTTCTCTGGAGAATCATGACTAATACAAAAACAGTGAAATTAAGCAACTCATCCACGGTCATACTACTAAGTCACAAAATTAGGATTCAACTAGGCAGTCTCCTTCTAGAATCAGATTTCTTCATCCCTATACTGCATTGTCTCATATAATAAACTTGTTTTTTGTTTCAACAAATTAGAGGCAACTTTATACATTCACTCATTGCTTAACAAACAAGGATACATTCTGAGAAATATGTCAGCAGGGAATTTCATCATTGTGCAAACATGGAGTGTACTTACACAACCTAGATAGTACAACCTACTACACACCTAGGCCATATGGTATAGCATATAATAACTCCTAGGTTACAAATGTGTACAGCATGTTACTATACTGACTACTGTAGGCAATTATAACACAGTAGCATTTATATATCTAAACATAATAGGTACAGAAATAATAGTTATTATATTCTAATGGGACTACCATCACATATGTGGCCCACAGTTGATTGAAACATCATTATATAGTATATTCCTGTATTTCAATGTTATTAGTCTTCTCCAAAGAAGCTGACACTTACTCAGATGGCTTAATTTTCTGGCCTCAACAAATTATCTGACTTTGCTTGCATTTAACTTTTGTCCTTATTCCCAAAGGTTTTTGTCACATGAAAAACCCACTATTATGTTGGATCGAGTGCTGACATACAAGCACATTTGCCATATCCCTTAAGATTGCTAAAGCAGAGAATGATTACCAATTATATAAACAAGCTTCATTTTCTGACAGTTAAATTGTTAGTTATTAGACATAAGGAACATGATAAATAAAAAAATTTATTTATTTATATCTAATGACTAGCTTATTTACATGTATTTGCAAAGCTTAACATTTTAAACCAATAAGACCTTTAGCACAGCTACTATACATGTTCGTCAAATCTCGAACTCAGTCCTTTTTAAAAATGTTTTAAACTTAACATCTTTTTTAAGAGATGGGGTTTTCTCATGTAGCCCAGGCTGAAGTGCAGTGGCTATTCACAAGCACAGTCATATGCACTGCAGTCTTAAACTCCTGGCCTCCGCCTATCGAGGAGCTAGGGCTACAGGCACATGCCACCGCCCCCCTAGCTTCAAACTCAGTATTTTCAAAAGACATCTTTCAGGTGTTACACTAAACTTTACAGAATGCAAAGGCATCTTTATAACTGGATACAACTCTATCGCCTTGAAGAGCACTCATCAATAGTAATAGAAGGACTAAAACCCAAAGAAACAACAAAAGTATTTCATAAATATGTATACTTTCTTCTACTTACATCTTGACTTAGTGCCATGAAACTCCTCTGTAATTCTTTTGCAAACTCCAAATTATTTGTGACTTCCTGGTACTTAGAAACGGCATCCTAAAAAAAAAAAGACAAAACCCAACTTTACTAGACAGAAAAAAAAAAAAAAAAAAAAAAAAAAAAAACAAGAATTCTTTTGTTTAAAATAGTGAGCATTAGGTCTTAAATAAAAATATAACATCTTTACCAGCTGATCTTGATTAAGCCTTTCCCCTTTGTTCATTCGTTCCTGGTAATCATCAAGTTTACCCTGTATTAAAAGAACAAAAAGAATTACATTCCATGTTGAACATCTATTCCAGCTTAAGCATGCTTGACAAAACCCACACAATCCTCTAGCTTGTCTCAAATTTTGCCTTAAATCAACTTTTTAGATATACTCCAGTTTAACTACATCATTTTTTTTTTTTTTTTGAGATGGAGTTTCACTCTTGTCACCCAGGCTAGAGTGCAGTGGTGCAATCTCGTCTCAACGCAACCTCTACCTCCCAGGTTCAAGCTATCCTACTGCCTTAGCCCCCAGAGTAGCTGGGATTAAAGGCACCCACCACCAAGCCTGGCTAATTTTTTTGTATTTTTTGGTAGAGACAGGCTTCAAAATGTGGCCATGTTGGTCTCGAACTCCTGACCTCAGGTGATCTGCCTGCCTCAGCCTCCAAAAGTGCTGGAATTACAGGTGTGAGCCACCGCGCCCAGACTAAGTACATAAAACTTTTTACATATACTCCAGCTGTTGCTGAATGACATTAAAGACTGTATTGTAAACCAATGATACAACATTACTCACTCTTCAGATTAATCAAAAAAGAGTATTAGATGGACTAGACATATGGCTCCTACCCACATGGGTAAAGGGCCACAATTTGGTTACAATCCTGCTTATACTCAAGTGAGCTATCAGACATTTATCAAGTTAAATTTCAGTCTCTCCCTCTCCCCAGAAAAAGAATTCATGTGACTAGGGAATATAAGAGTCTTTGGAAGGCCAAGGCAGGTGGATCACTTGAGATTAGGAGTTTAAGACCTGCCTGGTCAACATGATAAAACTCCATCTCTACCAAAAAATACAAAAATTAGCTGGGTATGGTGGTGTTAGCCTATAGGCCCAGCTACTCAGGAGACTGAGGTGGGAGGATCACTTGAACCATGGAGGTGGAGTTTGCAGTCAGCTGAAATAATGCCACTGTACTCCAGCCTGGGTGACAGAGTGAGACCCTGTCTCAAAAAAAAAAAAAAGAAAGAGTATTTTTTTCCTGAATAAACAAACTCACAGCCATATTGTCTTTAATGTAACTTCATTTATCTTGAACAACAAGATAGCTACCACATCACTATACTACACAAGTAACAGCTTTGCTGTTAGTTCAAGGGTGAGGAAAGAAAACTAACATCTGATCTGGTTTAAGATCATACTTTCTTGCTAAAATTAAAACTTTGCAGGTTTTCCAGGCTACTACTATTAAGTAGGACCCCACAGATATTCAGGTAATGCAAAACAATCATGAGCTGTTATTATTGTAAAGGTCAGAGGACAGGGAATGAGGAGAAATCTAAAGTAAGGGGAATAATACCCAAAATAATCCCAATAAATTATGAACATACATAGTTCCTTACCCATAAAACTGTGAAACGAAATACAAAGTTAAATTCTTTTTTTTTGAGACAGAGTCTCACTCTGTCACCCAGACTGGAGTGAAGTGGCGGGATCTCGGCTCACCACAGCCTCTGCCTCCCGGGTTCAAGTGATTCTCCTACCTCAGCCTCCCGAGAAGCTTGGATTACAGGTGCCTGCCATCATGTCCGGCTAATTTTTGTATTTTTAGTAGAGACAAGGTTTCACATGTTGGCCAGGCTGGTCTCGAACTCCTGACCTCAGGTGATCTCCCCATCTTGGCCTCCCAAAGTGCTGGGATTGTACAGGCATGAGCCACCGTGCCCGGCCGGCAAAGTTAAATTCTAATAAAGGGCATTCAAAAACCACAGAAGCCAGTTTAAAAGTAATGATAATAGTTTTTTTTTTTTTTAGGTCAAATATTTTCTTTATACCAGAAACAAATGTCAACTTGCCTAGCCATTCAACCCCAAATTGAAAAGCCTACCACAATTCTTTAGTAACACTGGAGGTAAATAAAACCAAGATAATCATTAAAATATTAAAAGCTTTTAAAAGCATCCAATTTTATTCTTAGATGAACTACTTCACAAAAATCTCTAAGCCTCCAAATAAACAGGTATAAAATTTCAGTCTAATGACTTGAGGAAAACAAAAAAAAAGGTTTTTTGCCCTGATACAACAGACCTGACCCCAGGGCAAAAGATGTGTCCAACTACCTCACAATACTCGGAAGATCAACAGATTGTTCATCCTCTTTTTAAAGAGGGAAGACTCACAAGCTTGGGAAGCTAAAAAAAAAAAGTTTTAAAATAAAAAGTTTTGTTTTTTTAAAGGGTAGGCTATTTTCCTTTTAAGAAATAAAAAACTAGGCCAGGTGTGGGGCCTCACGCCTATAATCCCAGCACTTTGGGAGGTTGAGGCTGGTGGATAACGCAGTCAGGAATTTGAGACCAGCCTGGCCAACAAGGTGAAACCCTGTCTCTAACTAAAAATACAAAAATTAGCTGGGTGTGGTGGCACATGCCTGTAATCCCAGCTACTGGGAAAGCTGAGGCAGGAGAATCGCACCACTGCACTCCAGGCTGGGAAATAGCAAGACTCCATCTAAAAAACAAAAGAAAAAACTAAACAAGATTTGAATTTATGACTTAGGATATTCCAAAATAAGTATTATAATCACAATCCCTCTATTTAAAAATATACCAACAGAAAATATGCAAATAGGAGGGCCTAAAGTTCAGTTCTAGTACACAGTTCATTAATACTGAACAAAAGAAAAAGCACTATTAACTTATAACTGGCAATTTATTATCTTCCTTTTTCTATAGTATTGTATATTTTTCAAGAAAATTGTTACTAAATCTAGAAATACACCATACATCACTCATAGGGTAGAGTTTATGTATCCAGCCAAAATGGATGTAGAATCAAATTCCTAAAAAATGCTTGTATAGAGATGAAAATAAACATAAAAAGATTTAAAAAAAAGAGTAAGAATGGTACATGAGTGGTAAAATTGTAGGTGGAGCTGCTTTCCTTTTGCTTTGTTTTATACACTTAACTACTGTGCAGTGAAGTTTGTATAATGAAAACAATTAGAATTCCATGTTATATAAAATTAAGATTGACAGCCTTCAGTACATTGTCAGGACTCTCACCAGTAACAATCCTTGATTATGAACCTACACTGTCCTATTATAGGACAAGTTATCCTATATTAGAAAATCTCCAATTTTCTATATAATAGCAAATTTAGAATTCATCCAAACCGAGAGCTATGGCAGATTACATTTTCCAAAGATAGCTATAAAATCTGCAGTCTCACATACTGTTCTACAGTGTGACCCTGGCACTACTCAATCAACAACTAGTCCACTTCCCCTGCCATTGTACCTGAGTAAGCTTCAACCAAGAGTACTATATAAATGATGCTGTACGATTTCCAAGCCTGAGTCATAAAAGCAATCCATCTCTGCCTTATTTGCTGGCAACCCAAACACTTGTGTTTGGAGCTTTCAGCCATCATACAAATATAGTAACTCTGAGATTGCCATGTCATAAGGAAGCCATGCCATGAAGAGAGGCCTCACAGCTTCTGATCAGCAATCCCTGTGGTTCTACTCATTTTAGTCCAAGCAGCAAATGAATGAACAAGTCAGTCTTCCCACATGAGGCCCCCAGTGTCATCGAACAGAAACATCAAAACTCCTGTGTGCCTTGTCTGAATCCCTGATAGGCAGAATCTTTGTGCTTAAGAAAATCGTGGTTTTAATTCCTTAAAGTCTGAGATTAATCTGCTACAAGGCAGTAACTGGAACAAGGTTAAAGGGGAAATGAAACGAAAGGAAAACAGCCAGTATGTGAAACTCAGCTTCATAGTACACATCTTCACAGAACATTCTGACAAAAGAAAGTATGCAAAAAGAACTCCACATGGCCAAAATAAAGATCCATGTACTATGGCCAGGCATGGTTGCTCACGTCTGCAATCCCAGCACTTTGGAAGGCCAAGACAGGAGGATCACTTGAGGCCAGGAGTTAAAGACCAGCCTGGACAACATAGCGAGACTTTGTCTCTACAAAAAATTTAAAAATTATCCAGACAAAGAAATTTTTAAACTTAGTGCTATAGTCCTAACTACCTGGGAGGCTGAGACAGGAGGATCACGAGACCAGGAGTTGGAACTCCCAATGAGCATGACTGCACTCCAGCCTGGGTGATAGTGCAATATCTTGTCTTCAAAAAAACACTATGCATTTTATTAAAGCTCAAGTGCCTATTTACTCTGATTTAGTATTACCGTTAATATGTTTCTAGCATTTCAATTCAAGAATTGAGATTTTTAAAAGGTGGACTGCGTTTACTGTAAGTAAAGAAGTATGTAAATCGTAACTGAAATCTTTAACAGAATTTTCAAAGAGCAGACCATAGTTCCTGAATTACCCAATCAAAAAAATATAGTAAATCAATGGTACAGGGCTGGATGCCATGGCTCATGGCCATAATCCCAGTACTTTGGGAGGCCAAGGCAGGTGGATTGTGTGAGGTAAGGAGTTCAAGACCACCTTGGCCAACATAACAAAACCTCGTCTCTACTAAAAATATGAAATTAGTGAGGCATGGTGGCGCAAACCTGTAATCCCAGTTACCTGGGAGGCTGAGGCACGAGAATCACTTGAAACTGGGAGGCAAAGGTTGCAGTGAACAGAGATCACTCTTTTGCACTCCAGCCTGGGCAACAAAGTGAGACTCTATCTCAAAATAAAATTTAAAAAAGGTACAGTTACTATAGGTCTTGGCCAGGCACAGTGATTCACGCCTACAATCCTAGCACTTCCAGACACCAAGGTGAGCAAATCATCTAAGCTCAGAAGTAGGAGTTTAAGCCCGGGCAACATGGCAAATCCCTGTCTCTGCAAAAAATACAAAAATTAGCCAGGCATGGTGACACGTGCCTGCAGTCCCAGGAGGTGCAGGTGGGAGGATAACTGAGCCTGCAGAGGTTGAGGCTGCAATGAGTAGTGATCGCACCACCACACTCCAGCCTGGGCGACAGAATGAGACCAAAAAAAGCTACAGATCATCCATATAACATTTTTCTAATCACAATAAAAAAAAGAAAGTTTCATCATAGCATTATACATGTTCTTCCATGGCTGTTAACACTTTCTACACTGTTACAAATATCCTATACCCTGTCCTTGTCCAAGCCTTCAGAAAGGAGCATCCTAAGTCTGATCAAAGTTTCTAAGAAATAGCATTCACCTGAGGAAATACCAAAACTAAGAAAACTGCAAGATGACAATAAAAACTTAATTAAAAGACACTAGTTTTTCCCTCATCAGTAAAATATAGTATCTCCTGATCTCCTGGCTATTAAGGTATACAGAAGACTTTATCACCATGGAATCTGAGCTGTTAGGGACTTTGTTTTGCTATTATATACAATCAGACCTCTGCAGAACAGAGACCCTGTGTTGGTCTAGGTCAGTGATTCCCAAAACTGTGGGCCCCAAACCAGCAATATCAGCATCGGCTGGCAACTTGTTAGAAACACAAATTCTCAGACACTGCCCCAGACCTACTGAATCAGAAACTCAGTGAGGGTTGGGGGAACCCAACAAATTGTGTAGTTTATCCAGTCTTCTGGGTGATTCTGACGTGCAAGTTTGAGAAACACTCATCTCATTCAAATATACTGTAATTGCCTTGTCATAGCCCAGCAGAACCTGGAAATAAATTATTCTACATCAAACACATGATATGATTAGTGACCTTAAAAACTATTATATGGCAACTTTAATTTGGAGATAAGTTGTTTACAGTTTTCAACAGAAAACTTGTTGAATTGTGGTTGGGTTTCTAGACAAGCTTATAAATCTACTTAACTTAGTAACTATTTCATAAAGAGAAGACCCATTTATGATCGGTTATCATCTTTGAAGAGGAGTTGTGAGAGAGGGAAAGAATGTAAGATTTAACAAAAGAGAGGGAAAGAATGCAAGATTTAACAAAAGTACTACTTATAAATGCAAGATGAGTACTACTTGCATTTATAAGTAGTACTTTGCATTTATAAGTAGTACTTTTGTTAAATCTTGCATTCTTAGCTGACACCTCAGAAGTTAAACTAAGTGGTAAATGTCATAGGACAATCAATTGGTCTAATTTTCTACTTTTCAAAATGAAAGGAGCTATTACTATAGCTATAAAGATTACTATAGCTTGCAGTCTTAGCTCAC